GTTGAGTATTTTTCATAATTTGTAGCTATATTTTTGTGTGTCTGTTGATTGGTGTCTGTCTCTCCCAGAGGGCAGGGACGACATCTGTCCTGTCTACTGTGTGTCCCCAAAGTCTAGTACCCACTAGGCCACTATCCACAATGACAAGGAGAGTAAACAGCGTGCTGCCGCGCGGTACACTGTGTAGTGTCAGAATGCCAAGCACCAAGGTGCTAGTGAGCTCCTTCCTCTGCTCTCTGCCGGCTGAGTTACCCCTTCCCAACAGCTAACTGCCTGCTAAGTCCAAGCAATGCTCAGAGATGCACAAGGCCTAAAATAAAACAAGAGAAAGGAGGAAACGATACCAGGGGAGGTTATGGGGAATCACCCACGGAGTATCACACCTTATATACTGTTTATTAAGGATATGGAAAATATCACACAAAATATGAAAACACAAAAACAGTGTGTTTTGTGTGTGGGGGGGTTGGTTTCTCGTTTTCTTTTGTTTCGTTTTTTGGGGAGATTTTTTTGTTTTGTTTTGTTTTATAGAAGGATAGCTTTACTGCTTTGCCAGGCAAAGAGGGACACTGCGGGCTCCTGCTGTCAAAAACTATGTGTCCCTTGTGTGTGTTTTGTTTTGAAAAAATATCAGAAAATTCTGGAAGGCTCAAAAGGAAGCAAGACAGACACACAAGATGGAACGGGTTAAACCTTTTTTGTCACACAAGAAGCACATTACATCACAGATCCTCCTCGATTTGCACAATGAAGTGACGTCCAGATAAACCCATTGTGAGTGGAGAATGCATTTAATACACCTAACCTGCCACACATCATACAATAGCTTAGCTAGCCCACCTTAAACATGCTCAGAACACGGACGGTAGCCTACAGTTGGGCAGAATCGTCTAACACCAAGCCTATTTTAAAGTGTTGAATCTCTCGTGTAATTTATTGAATACTCTACTGAAAGTGAAAAGCAGAATGGCTGCGTGGGTACAGAATGGTTGTAAGAGTGTCGGCTGTTTATCCCCATGACGGCATGGCTGATGGAGCTGCAGCGCTGCTGCCCAGCATCACATATCGCTAACCCGGGAAAAGATCAAAATTCAAGACTCAAAGTTCAGTTTCGACTAAATGTGTTATCGCTTTTGCACCACTGTGAAGTTGAAAAATCGTTAAGTTGAACCATTATACGTTGGGGACCATCTGCATATGAGTATTTCCTAGAAATATGAAATTAGGCTAGAAAATAGACTGGCCAAAGAAATAAGAGAGGAAGAAAGATTGAGGGATGGAGAGAGGGAGGAAAGGAAGGAAGGAGGAAGGATGGAGGAAAAGAGGGAAGGAAGGAATGAATCATTAAGACCTCAAAATTAAGCAAAATGAGACAAGTTACCTAAAAGACTGTCACGATTCTCAGCCTGAGCTAAAACTGGCTTGTCACATCTGCAGTGAAGTATACCCGATTACAGAACTTTCAGGCTGCACCACCAGTACCTGTGCCGTGCAGTGAGTTGGTTTTAGGGAGGGGGACCAGAGCTGGCCACCAGCCCTCACCCAACACCCCAGAAAGGGCTCCTGCCTGCACTCACCAGGACTAAGGGAGGTCCGGCCATCACACATTCAGAGGACAATCCAGGAGCCTCCAGGAGTGGAGGACTGACACTCCTTCGTGTCCCCTAGACCTGTTTCCATGGTGACAGAACCCCTCATGCCTTGTAAGCCAGGAAGGGAAGCAGAGCAAGCTCTCCTCCTCCCCGCCCCCAGCCCCTCTGCCCCCTCCAGTAGGTCCTTTGTCTACAGCTGTGTCTGTAAACACGTCTCTGCACACCCCCTCCTCTAGCCCCCGCTTCTCCTGTCTGCAGTGTAGCACATATTCCCCACCCCCCAACTGATCTATTTGGGGAGAATGGGGGAAAACGACTCTTTAATTTCCTGCCTTCATTAATTATTGTAATGGCTTTCAACTTGGGGGAGGGAGGGGGCACAACGCGCCTAATATGTTTTTATGTCAACAAACACATTCTCTCCTTGGCAGAGAAAGAGGCCTGTTTGGGGTTTGGGGATGTGGAGTGATTTACAAGGAACATTAACACCAGAGAAATTCTCCTGCTACAGATTCATGGGTTGGCTTTCTGTGGTGACTTGAACCCTCACCCTCACCCTCTCCCTCTCCCCTTAAGATCCCTGTCTCCTCGCCTCACTTTTCCCCCTATCCTAATACTCTTCTTCTCTCTCTTAATCCACCTCTTTTCCCCCGTGTTCACATCCCTCTTTTCCCCACCACACCCCTCTTGCTGCCTCTCGCCTTCTCGCCAAAGCTGAGGACTCTTGGGGAACATGGCTGATGAGCGGAAGCTCTCGGGCTGACATCGTTCGCTGCAAGGGTCCTGAAGGGCGCTGTGGGCAGGAAAGGTGGGAACCGGGTCTGCTTTGCCCTGTTTCTCTGTGGAGACCCCTCACCCCAGCCTCTAGCCGTGTCTTACTCTCCCCATTAGAACGGGAGAAGGTTACCAGGGGAACCCTGAGTAAACAGAATGCTCTCCAGGCCTTTGTGGCCCTGGGCAGGGAAGCCCACTGGAGAAGTCTTCCAGGTCTGCCATCAGTGGGAAAAAGCCCATTTGGGTTGGCAGAATCTCTGGAGAGAAGGAACGAGATGAAGCTAAGAAAAACAGTTCCACAAATCACTCTTCAGTGAGGTGAGTCTCCACAGCAACCTGCCCAGGGCTGAGAACCACAGAGGCAGGAGATGCACTGTTGCCACGGAAACCACATCCTAGAAACCCACTGGTATTGGTCCCTGTTTGCGTTTGCAGATAAGGTGCTGGGGGCAGGGGCTAGACCTGCAGGGTCCCTCAGAGGAACAGGATGGAGGACAGAGGGAGAAAAGAGGGGAGAGAGACGAGGGGCAGGAAAGAGAGGCAAGAGGGGAGAGCAGATGGAGAGAAGAGAGAGAGAGGGTGATAGAAGGAAGGAGGGAGGAGAGGAAGGTTCTAGGAACCAGACAGCCTCTCAGGGGGATCCTGAGTTCTCTGGGCTTTGCCCAGAAGAGAAGGAAGCGCCCTGTGCACTGAGTATGGGCATGTACAAGTGAGTTGAGGGGAAGGGGACTGAGCTGAAGCCCAGGCTGAACCTCACGTCAGCCGAGGCACCCACTTGTCCTCATTGCTTTTACTCCATCATTGTTCAAAATGAGTAAATGAATCATACCCTGGGGCGCCTGCTCACTGACCACAGAACAACCCCCCAAAGGGTCTGGAACCAGAGGAACCCCACTTGGGGCCTCCGGTCCCTCCTCCCCCCAGGGTGCCCAAGCACAGGGGTTCCAGAGGGAAGGTGATTGGAAGTGGGCCCCAAAACCAGCCTCTTCCCTGATTACTCCCAGACACGGGTCTGTGGTTCCCTTTTTCTGGGAGTTAAGTGGCCACTGTGTGCCTAGCGCCACCTGCTGGTGACCACTGGGAGCAAGACAGCAGTGACTAGAATTGGCGGGGCCCAGGGTGGCCCCCACCACTGAGCCTCAGCAACCTCTTCAAGCCGGGGGTCAAACTGGTACCCTCCTCCACGCCCCCTCGGACGGCCTGTGGGCCAGATGAACTCTTCAGTCAAATAAGCCACAGTCGCATTCGGTGTCTGATCTTGGCAAGTCAATTCCCTCTCTGGGCTCCCATGTCCCATCTGTGCAATGAAGGTCTAGAAGGGCTCTTTATGGCTTGGATACTCTGATTCCTTGACTCAAGCCAGAATTTAGCCCCTATCTGGAATATTTCTTTGAGTCTGAGGGGAGATACCAGAACCCCTCCCCCAATGTACTGTTCCTTGGACTGGGGGCTCTGTAAGCCCCACGTGGTTCAAGGGCAGCCTGGAAGGCACCAGAGTTTCCCCGTCACCCTCCCTTTACCAAGTGGGCCCCGCTGAGAGGGAGGCAAAAGCTTAAGCACCGTAACACACAGCACCCACTACAAGACATGTCCCAGGCCCTGCAATCCCACCTACCCCTCCTCTGTAGCCTGAGAAAGCTCCCGGGTCCACAAAGGCTCCTAAAAAGCTGTTAAGAGGAGAAGGAAAGCTGGGGAACCAGCATTCTCCCAATCAGTGTTGGTGCCTACCACATCTGCAGGAGAGATGCCACTTTGGGACACGGTGCCAAATGCAGAAGGCTTCCTGAGCCCCTGTGATTGCATCAATGCCTGCTGAGCTGTCTGCTGCAACCAAGAGAGCCAGGGCTGCAGTGGGGGAGGTCTGGAGGCAATGGTGGCTAGCCCAGAAAGGCAGGAAGTGAGTGAATACAGGACTCGCGTCAGGAGAGCCAAGTCCAAATCACAGCTTTCACATTTAGTAGTTCCATGACCTGGTGCCATTTTCCCATTTGCCAATTGTAGATAACAGCAGTATCTACCTCCCAGAGTTCTGGTGAGGATTAAAATGAGATAATGCATGTGAAGCCCTTAGCACAGGGCCTGGCCCATAGCAGCACTCATCATTACAGACTCAATTCAGAAACTCTGGATTTGGACCAGGCCAACTCTGACTCATCATAATATTGACAACATGTAAAAAGTGTTCCTCCTGTTAATAGCTATTCGTGGAGCACCTACTATGTGCCAGGCACAGTGCTGCACAACAGGGCTAGAGCAACAGAGGAGACAGATATGATGCCAGATTTCATGGAGTTTCTAGTCTGGTGAGAGGTAAGGGAGAGTGGTAGACGGTCATCAAACAAATAATGACACAAAGAATAAATTACTCTCCATTCTGAAAGGGAAGCAAAAGTGCCAAGGGAGCATATGACTGGAGAGATGACCTGATCTGGGTGGTTAGGGATGATTAATCTTTGCCTCTCCCTCCTTCATGCTGACTGGAATGAGGACATGATGGCTGGAGCTTAGCAACCATCTTGGACCATGAGGCAGGGCTGCTGGATAAGAGGGACCTAGATGCCTGATGACTTTGTGAAGGTGTCCAAACCCTCTCTGTATTGTCTAATTCTGATGTTTTTATTCATTTTCTTGACAGAAAATGATTTTAATCTTCTTTAAGAACAGTATTGTTTTAGTTTTTAATTGTCCTTATCCTCAAAAAGCTCTGAACCACTGGACTGGGGTTAGTAATGAACATGCTGCCTCTTCATTAGACTGTAAGAATGTTGGGGGCAGAGGGAGTCTCCAGCCCAGGGCTTTCCTCATAGGAGAGTGTTTGTAGAGTTTTGTTGAGTGGGAAGGAGTTAAAAAGAGACAAAAATCATGGACAGATAAATTGAAGCTGAATGTAAATCTGGGGCAAGAAACCCAAACCATTTCAAGGAGTGTCTGAGGACAGAGCGAAAGGAAGGCGGTACAGAGAAATTCAGCAGCCAAGGACAGGACCTAGCAGAACAAGAGCTGAAGGACTTGAACCCAGGGAAAGAGCTGACCTCCAGAACAAAATACTTTTGGGGTGTTAGAGGGCTCCTCAGGGATGGCTTGAAGTTGACCCTGACCTCGAATGTCATGTCTAGGGAAGACAGCAGAGACCTGGGTTTAAATCCTGCTGTGTCGCTTACTAGCTGGATGAGTTTAGATAACTTGCTTGGCCTCTCTGAGTTTCCGTTTACTCATAGAACAGTAAAAATAGATGGAATGATATGTACGAACTCCCCCCCCTCCGACCCCCGCGTCACTGCCTGGCATGTTGTGGCACCCAATCAATCGTAATGATGTCCAACAATCTTTCAGGTGCTGTGGCGGATGGACTTTCAGGTGGCCACGTGATCTGGCCTCCTGATGTTCATGTTTTTCTGGGATCCCCTCCCCTCGACTGTAGGCGGGCCCTGGGACTTGCTTCTAACCCACAGAGTGCGGCAAAGGTGACCGGATGTCTCTCCCATGATTGTATTACGTTATGTAAGACTCGGTCTTGCTGGTGGACTTGCTTAAGAGTCTCTCTCCATTGCTGGCTTTGAAGAAAGAGCTGCCATGAGTCCTACGGCGGCAAGAAAGCGCGGTCTGCCAATAAATACCCCGAAGAGCTTGAAAGCGAACTGTTCCCAGTCGAGCCTCTAGATGAGAACCCAGTCCTGGGGTTCCTGTTTGCAGCCTTGCAGAAGACCTGGCTAAGCCACGCCCAGAAACTTAAGTGATAAACATGTTGCTTAAGTGCTAAGTGTTTGGTAATTTGTCACATGCAGAGAAAGGGAATACAGGTGCTACATCAAGAGTATTTTACGCAGTATTTAAGGAATATATCGCTTCACTTTCGTCAGCACATCAACTCTAATAGGGGGTATTATTATCCCTACTTACAGAGAGGAAACAGGCTTGATTTGCCAAGGCCACACGGCAACTGGGGAAGAGGGAGCTGTGACACAGGCTCTAGAGACTACACAGCAAAGAGCCCTGTGACTGGCCTGCTGGCAGCGTTAGCTTCACCCTGCACGGTGCTGTGCAGCCACATGAAGGCCTTTAGGCAAATGCTCTCTGCCCAGTTCTCCACAGACCCCACCCCTCCCTATAGCCTGGTCCCCAGCTGTTTCACATGGTTCTCTCAGCCACCTGCCAGGCTCCTGAAGGCATTTGAGTCTCCAACCCCGTATAACTAGGGCACTGGGAGTTAGAGGCCACATACAGCAGGTCCTGTTTCCTCAAGGGTTTGGGAGCAAAGGGCAAGAGCCGAACTACCCGGGGAATGGCGCAGAGAAAACAAGGTAGCAAGCGTCCCCAGCGCAATTCCCTTCCTGAGCTGTGAGGCCACAATGCATCATTTTCATGACATCTGTGTATGGTGATGTCAGGGTCGCTGCACCCTCCACACCCCAGGGCTGGGCCTGGTTTAAGGACCCCACCCCAGGGAGCAGCACAGCAGAAGGATAGGGATGCATGGAGACTACAGCCTTAGAGGGGACCCTCAGCTCCCGAGGCAGGGGCAGCGAAGGGGCCAGGGGACTCGGGGAGTCCTCATCTGGTGGTCTCTACGGGAGGGTTACTGCTTCATTTAGAGAAACACAGGGACACAGGCAGACAGCACAACAAGCCCCAGGAGCCCTGAGTCAGGGCTGCACTTACACTGTTGACCCAGGTTCTTTCCTTCCTTCCTTCTTCCCTCCCTCCTGCCCTCCTTCCCTATTTCCTCCCTCCCTCTCTTTCAACCACTTGTGCTAGGGGTGGACAAGGGGGGACTGTCTGTATTTGTAACTTGAGAATTAAGGCCAAGTGCACAGGTGACAGTTTTTTTTTCCCGATCTACCGGAAGTCACAGGATCCACCCAGCCAAGGCAGGAAGGGTGAGCTCTGCCCTTGGGTCGCCCTTCTCCTTTCAGTTCGGCTGGTCGCTTGTACCTTCTCATGCAATTCACTCAATGATCCCTAAACTCTGATTAGGGCCCAGCCTTCATCAGGGGCTGGGAGCACAGGAAAGAACCAAGTAGTGTGTGAAAGGACAGGCACCACAGACCCCACTCCCCATGGCGAGAGAGGCTTCTGCCAGGAGCAAGTCTGGCCAGCCCAGCCCGGCTTCCAGGGCTGGACCCCACACTGCAAGTTTTAAAGCTGCCCACCCAGGTGAATCTATTGTGCGGCAGGGGTTGAGAATCACTGTCACAGGGAAGGGAACACTCTGTCTCAGGCATCTGTGGTTGCCTTGTCCCTTCCCTTGCGGAAAGCATCTGGATTTTAGTCACTTCATCAGAAGAAGATGGTTTCTCAGGATTAGGTGAGCTCAAAGTTGCAAAAGAAACACCTCCCCTAGGCTGCAGCGGGCTCTAGCCCAGGCCAGTGCCTCAGAGGCAAACTTCGTAGCTGCTGTATACTGGTAAGTGCCATATTGGAAATGTTCTCAGTTTTTTTTCTCCTGGAATTTCAAAAGCAAATTACATTCTGAACACTGTTGGCTAAGGACAGCCAGTTTTCACCAATGAGCACTGCAGGAAGGGATCCAATACAAACCATCACCACGGCACGCTGCTACACACCAGGTACTATACACGTCTACCATCTGGACCTCACAACAGCCCTAAATGACACCTTCTCCCCATTTCACAGATGAGGAAGCTGAGGCACACAACTAGCAAGTGGGAGATCTGACTCCCTTACTCCTTGCCTCCTATGTAAAAGACAAGCACTACACAAGGGGCACTGTGTCCTGAATGGCACCAGATCACAAAATCACATTCATCAAAGGAAACTGGGCGGAATGAAGACAGGTGAGTGTGGAAGTGCTGGTGGGCACTGCACTGGGCAGGCTGCACTAGACACAGCTCCCCCCAAACCCAATCTAGAGAGAGCCCAGCCTTAGAGAACAAGTGAGTCTCTCTTGCTGGGGCCACCTCCGTGATGACAGCAATCCTGGACTAGAAAATCACCCAGTGTGAGACTTCTCATTCCAACTCCTACCCTGGAGGCTTAAGTACCAGGGGCTCTTCTTCAAAACAGGCCCAAGGCCCTTGGTGACAGAGTCTCTTCCTGGGGGCCTCAGCCACCCTGCACCCTCCCCCCTCCCCTCCACTAGGGGTCCCAGCCCAGATCTGCCATCTCTGTGCAACCACGTGTGAGTTGCTTTAACCTCTCCAAGCCTCAGAGTCGCCATCCGTGGAAAAGGGAAAGACGTCTATTTTTCTTTGTGGGAGGATGAAACGAGACAAGAGTCTTACCCCAGGATGAGACCATAGTAAATTAATTCCAGTGGAATCGCATGTACTCTCCACGAGAAACCCGAGTTCTGCTATCACGGAAATGCAAGGCAATCGTAAGCCTGGGCTGGCTGAGTGGAGCACTCACCTGGGCCAGGAGGAAGGATGATTCGATGGAGGGATGGAGATCATGCTCCTGCAGAGACATTCCACCAGATGGCGCCATGGTACAACATTCACAGCCCTTCAGGCCAACACACCAGGATCGCTGGGGTCTCCAGGGTCTTCCTGCACAAGAACAGGACTTCATTCAGTCAGAGCTAAAGAAAGCCTGAGGCTTTGTCATTCTTCACAGCTTCCCTCCATCTCCTTCATCTAGATCTTCATCAAAAGTGTGGTGGGAAGGGGGTGGGGGCACAGGGACAGTGACAGTGGCAATGCCAGGCCATGTCAGCAGCAAAGTCCATCAAGCACCTACTATGGGCAAGGCCCTCTGGCAGGTATTGTCGAGTTTTAGAGCTGAGAGGGGCCTTCAAGGAAATCCACCCTTGCCCCTTTGTTTTTCCAGAATGGAAGGAGGCCAGGGGAGGGTCACGCCTCTCTGTTAGAGGTGGTGGAGAGGCCCGCCAGGCTCACCTTAGGGTGTAGCCTGACTCAGGAGGACAGGTTTCAGGTGAGGCCACCATGCCTCCTCCCCTCCTCCTTGCTGAGCTGAGCCAGACAAAGCCAGGGGAAGACAGGAAAGGCATCCCATCCGACTGCAAAGGGAACAGAGAAAATGAACTGGGTGTGACTCCCTAGGCTATTCCTGCCTCACCCTCTCCTGGGACACAGGACACTCTTCCTGAATGTCTGCTGAACAGACTGCAGACCTAGGACCAAGGTGAAACCATCCAGGGAGCTTCCTCCTCCAGCCCTGAAGAAGGGGGACATTTCTCTCAGGGTCCCCTCATTTCAGAGAAACAGCCCCATGGAGTGGTTCAAGGTCAGTGCTGCAAGGCCCTTGGGGGTCAACTGGGTCAACCCCCTGTGGTACAGATGATTCCGTTGAGAGCAAAAGAGGGTCAACAACTCACCTCAATACCAAAACTCTACAGAATGAGGCAGCTTTCTATGCACTAATATGAAATGTGTCCAGGATACTGTTAACGTAAAAAAGAGAGGGCAGAAAACGTGTCTAATTTTCCATTATTTATATTAAAAAAGACAAAATTAGTATATTTGTGTTTGCACATAATTGCATAAATAAGTTCTGGAAGGATTTAAAAGATGCTAAGAACAGTAGTTATAGGGTTGGAGGGGGGATGCATGGATGGATGGATGGGACAGGGGAGGGAGGGAGACTTTGTCCATATGCATTTGTACATCACTTGATCTTTGAACCATGCAAATGAATTGTTTCAAAGACTAAATTTTAAAAACAGTTTGCCCAAGATCATACAGTGTTTCCCACAGTTGTAGGTAGGATGCTTTCACATGGTAGGATGCCTTCACATGAAATGATCTGGGGTGCACAAGGTGACTGTAAGCAATTCACAAACACAGCACTGAATCATTCAGTGAGAAAGCCATTCCCTTTTCATTTCTCTTCAGTCTTCTGAATCCATCAGGGGGAATGCCTCAGTGAGATGCTAGCAGGTCTTTAATACCTTTCTAAATCCTGGTAAACTGCCTTTTTAACAAAGAAAAAAGGCATCAGGCTTAGAGCCTTGGTTGACAGCGGCAGCTAGCTAAAGGGTGAAAATGGAATCATGTTATTTTCTCTATACTCAATTTACTTGTACTAATATCTACTAGGAATGGCAAGTAACATTGGTCTTCAATTTGCAATAGCAATATGAGTCTTCCTTTTGGAAATATTTTAAGTAAATTGTATGTTGCTCTAAAGAAAACTATTACATAAACCCTAATGCCATTGCTTTGTGAATATGGTATTATCAAGTGCTAACCTTGCACCAGAAACTGCTAAGCGCTTCCCATGGATTAATATGCTGACCCTCCCATCCCTGGGAGGTGCAGATGAGGGCACAGAGAGGCAGGGAGAATGTGGACCTTGCCCAAGGTCACTGGTTGACTGGAGGCGGAGCTGGAATTTGAACCCAGGCATCCAGCCTCCTGTAGGGCCCAACATGGGAGGGACTAAAAGCTGGTGGCCCAGTGAATGCAGACCAGCCCTCCCCCATCCAGCTGTTGGCAGCCTGCACTTTAGGTAGTTGCCCTAAAGGCTCAGCCTCATTTGGACAGCTTTATCTTCCTCCTCCCAAGCTCTGGGTCCCTAAAGCCAAATGGTTTCAGCTCTCCCTCCACCCACTAACCGAAGGATTATAGACACACACACACACACACACACACACACACACACACGCCGTCTGCAATTCCACTGAAGCACTCCATCTGCTTCCTGAACTTTCTCGCTCTGTGGGGTCCCAGGCAGCAGCACAAGGAGGGCTAAGCTCTGCTTCTCCCACCGTCGTGCCCTGCTAGACAGGTTGCAGGCTTCTCTCTCCATCTAGTTTTGGGGGTAAAGCCCTCTGCCTCCCTCACCCTCACCTGTACCATCCTTCAGGGACCCTACATGAGGTAACTGGATTTCTCCCCTTGCCATTTTGCTGTGAAACGTCATGCATTCAGGAAAGCAGGGAAGAGGGCTGCACCCTATTCAATGGCTGTGGCCCAGAGCTGGGAAGCTAGGGAGGCCACCCAGCCGGGCAGCTGCAGCCGGCATCCTCACACCCACCCTGTGCCCTCCGCCCTCACAGAGCTGATCTAGTGGTCACAATGGGTCCCAGCAGGTAGTGAGGCCTGTTCCTGCCCTGTTTCTCTCCTCTCTCTGGGCCACAGGCACCCTCTGCACAGTCAGGAGATGAACTACCCCTCACTCAAAACCCTCCATCAGAATCACCTGGAGGGCTTTGTAAGAGGCAGGCTCTGGACCACATCCCTCAGCGCTTCTGAGAAACTCTATGGTGAGGCCTGGGAATCTGCACCTGAAACAAGTCTGGAGGTGATGCTGACATATACCAAAGGTGAACAGAGGCAGGCGTGGTCGAACATGTGGGCCTGGCCTCAGTCTGCATCCTAGCTCCACCCCCTACTCACCTGGGGGTGGGAGGGGGGCGGGAGTCCTGGGGGCGAGTTATAAATGCTCTACAGTATGCTCAGCAGTGAAATGATGACAGTGATTGTACCTCGATCATAAAGTTCTAGTGACAATTAAATGACACCAAGTGCTTAGCATAGTGTCAGGCACACAGCACACTTGGCAAATTCCTCCTGTCCTGACACTCGAGACCTGCAACAAGCCCCTCAGCTTCCAGGGGTGAGAGAAGCAGCTGCATTTCTTCTCCAACAGGAGAAGGTGGGTGGATGGTGACACTGGTCTTAGAAGCCCAGCACGACCCCAGCTGGGGGTCCTAGGAGCTTGGGACATGGTGGCTGCTCTGGCTAAGCCCACAGCACAGGAGCTGTGGTCCAAGGCAGAGCATCCGAGGAGGAGGTGCCGGAGCTGGAGCAGTCCTCCCCATGCCCTCTGTCCATCTCCCTCACCCACTGCACTGAGGGTGATCCCTGAGGCTCCGGACGGCAGGAGGGACCCAGAGGGACCATCACCCCTCCTTAGAGATGAGGAACAAGGCCCTAGAGACTGAGTGAGCTGTCCAAGGTCATGGACCCACAAAGGAGAGCAGGGCCTGCAAGCTTCCTCCAGGGTCCAGCTGGCCAGGGTTGGGGGGTCTTCTCTGCCCTCAAGGTCAGGTGTCCTTGGGCAGAGGCTCTGAGCACCACACCAGGGTTTTTCCTCAACTCACAGAGCCAGAGTCCCCAGTCAGGGAGCCCAAGTCCCTGCCTCTGCCAAAAGGCCCAGGAAGAGCCCTGGAGGCAGCAAATCATGTAGCTCTCTCTCAGGCGCAGTGTCTCTTCCGGGGATATGGAACTGTGGTCCCCACCGGCAGGCTAGCTGGAGGGCAGGGAGTGGTAAAGCATGCAGAGCAAAGGGCTTGGAACTTGTGGAAGGAAGGGCCCAGGAGGCCGCTCGTCCTGGGAGATGGAGTAGCAACACACAGTCGGACCCCAGCAGCTCCTCACCAGGTGGCCCCAACCAGGGAGTCAAACAACCCCACGGGGGGTGGGAGTTATTTCCAGCCCCATGGAGGCGGCGGAGGCCTGGTGTGAACCCCGCTGTGGCTCACGAGGCAGCCAGGCCGCAAATCCAACCTGACACGGAGACACAGGGCTCCGAGGATTAGCCCTAGCAATTAGCAGAAACCTCCCTTGAAATCTGCCCCCAAGGTGGCCCAGTCTGGGGGGTCCCGTCACGCAGCAGGCAGGGCGGGGAGGGGGGGGCAGAGGAGGCAGGGCCCACCCTCCTCAGCAAGCCTCCAGCTAGGATGCACACTAGGCCAAGGTGGCCCTTGGCCTCTCTCAGGGGCCCGTCGGGCTCTGCATCTGGCCACCCAGCCAGGCAACAAGCCTCTACCTGCTCAGAACATGCCTGCACCATGATTTCTGAGCGCAGGCGGGTGAGAGCCCACTGAAGGGCATTCACACAAGAGGTGGAGACGCGGCCCCCAGACGGCTTATAGCAGCTCCACAGGCTGCACAACCCCAGGGGGCGCCTTCCCTCAGCACGCTGCTTCTGCCAAGGCAGACTTTCGGACCCTGGACCTTGAGAAGTGAGGCAGAGCATTGCTTAGCAAACTGCCCAGAGCCCGAGGGGCATAGGGAAGGTTGGTTGAGGAAAGGAGGGTCGAGAGGTGGGCCCCTGGGCCCTCGCCCCGGGCCACTTCAACCAGCGCAGCTCTGTTGGGTCTGTGTCATGGGTGTCGAGCTCAATCAACAAAAAGCACTTCTTTCTTAAACAACTCACTTCGTCCCAGCCCCCAGCTGCTTCCCTTAGGCTGGCTAACAAGTCCCTGGGGCGGTGCCCAGGGCTCCTCCTGCCCCCCAGGGCCTGCCCCGGTCTGTCTCCTAGTCAGAAGCAGGAAGGAAAGCCCTGCCTTCTCTAAAGCACCCTCAATTTTCCTCAAAGGCCTCAGGCTTTGGGAATGGAAACTGAATTATGGAAAAAGACACAGTTCTCAGCCCTGAATTTGTGGACTCAGATTGATTCATACCCCTTCAAGGAATTTTATATATTGAGGGTCCACTTAAGATTTATTTCTTCAGAAAGTCCCCCAGCTTTGCAAGGCAAAAAGAAAGGGAAAGCCCAGCCGCAGAGAGATGCACTGAAGCGGGGTGTCAGGAGAGGGAGTGCTGTGGAGGATCATCCCTTCCCCCATGGCTGCTGGGCTAGAGCCATAGGAGCCTGGGGCTGGGGGATGTGCTGGGCAGAAGGAGATGCCACGGGGAACATCTGGGATACCAACCAGGCCTGGGCACCACCTCCCCTGCCCAGGCCCCAGAGGAACCGCCGGGAGCCAGACCCTCCCTTCCCTGTCTGTAGAAATAAAGACACAGAAAACCCTGAGATAGGAGTCCTATCTGAACAGTATAAAGCTCCCCCGGGAATGTCTATGATAAAGGCCGCCAGCCCCCTCAAGGGCAGCGGTGGGCACAAGGGCGGGGGAAGAGGGTTCTGTTCCCCCGCAGCACCACAGGCTCTCCGGAGGGATGGAATCAGCCTCCATCTCTCTGCCCCATCCTCCCCCCACATACACCCCATGATGGTTTGCTGCCCCGGCCCTGGCTTTCAAGAAGCACCTCTAAAACCTGCCTTCTTCCCCCAAACCACCAGACCAAGAAGGATCTTAAGAGGAAGGTGAGGTGAGAAATCTGGTCCCTGAGCCAGGGAAGCCCTCCAGCTCACACAGCCTCTCCCTGACCTTGAACGGCCAGCACTGTAGGCCCAGAGCCCTCAGCCATCCGATGCCACACCCCGCCGCCCAGCAGGGCCTCCACACAGACCCAGGGCTCAACCAGCCATAACTCAAGGCCTCCACTCACGGAAAGCAGGGCACCCTCAGCCCACGTGCACCGAGTAGTCAGCGCCAAGACCCCTGCTTTCTAAGGAGAGTGTGCCGAGGTTAGAGGCTATGAGAGCCGCAGGAGACTGAGCGAGGTTGAGCAGCCTCTGGTCAGAGACCCTGGGAAGGGAGGCCAGCACCCTGGCTGTCCTGACCCCACAGCCTCATTGGCCCTTCTGGTCAGAGAATCTCTCCCACACCACCCCGGACAAGGCCAACATCTCAGAGTAAGCCAGAGTTATCCAGGCATCGGTCAAGGGGCCCAAGTACAGGCTTCACCTGGCCCCCTGCCCCTGCTCTCAGAGCCTATCAGGAAGAGGTTAGAAACCACCCTCCAAGGTCAAATGCCCCCTTCTACCTGGTCCCCAATCCCAAACCACTTTCACCACGTCTTCCAGATCTACATGCAGTTGTATAATTATTTACGAATGTCTTTACATGGACTCACTTTTACTTAAATTTCTTTATTGAAAACGCCACCACAATAAGGAGAATACCAGTACCACCTGTCGTAAATAAAAGGTAGCCAATAAAAATATACCATTAAAACAAAACAGAGCTATAAAAGTCTGGAAACCTTTCCCACCTGCCCTAAGCTCAAGGCCTGCTCCCTAGTAACGGGGAAGTCAGCCCGTGTTCCAGACGCACAAGAACATATTGGCACACAGCAGAGACTTTCTTCGTGCCATAAAAGGGTTGGGTGAGAATTGGAAAGGGAATCCCTTTCTCGCTCTGACTTTGTGTTTAATGCCTGATACGACCGAAATGCATCTCCAGGGAATGAGGGTATCACCTGATCCTTTGGGAACGTTGGACTAGAGGCTCCCTCTGCCTCATGCTTAACACAACATGGAAACATGCTCTCTGAGCACACGTTCAAGGCACCAGTGAAGCTCCTCCCCAGGTGCCCGCTCTCACACCGAGGCCCAGCAGCTCCCTCTCCCACACACCTGCTCCAGCAGCCCCCGGAGGTCACCGCTGGCTCAGGTGGGACACCAGGTAGACGAGGCCCACCAGCAGGAGTCCACGCACACCAAGCAGCATGAGCAGGAAGACGAGCAGGATGGAGGTCACCGGCTCCACGGCGTGGTTGCCCAGATGCCACTGGGGGAAGCCCATGTTCAACAGCTGCCGGTTGAGGTCACTGAAGGGGGACTGAGCGGCACCCAGCCTGGCGCCCGCCTGCTGCTGGCGAGGGCCGGGACCCCCCAGCGGGGCGCCATGGCCCCTATTGAGAAAGCTCTGGAAGGTGAAGACAGAGAGAGACGAATGAATCCAGAGAGAGCTTCGCTGGAGTTGAGGCACCAGAGGCAGGAGGGAACCCTCTGGGTGGGGCCCTGCTCTCCCCTACGGCCACCCAGGGCCGTGCCCTCCTTTCTCAGCAATCCTCACATGCCACCCTTGGGGATCCCAACCACTGAGTCGCAAGCTCTCAGAGCACAGAAAATGCCAGTCCAGCTTCCCTATGTCACGTCAGGGAGAAGCTGCCCGGGACAGAGAAGAGGAAGGGGGCAAGGAGGGTGGGACTACACCCAGGGCACAGCATCTGAGCAGGCATTTTTAACACTCCTCACTCCTTCCTTTAAACTCATCATTGTGTGGCCGTGGGTTCCTCTTCTCCACTTACTCTCCGGCTTCCCTCTCATCCAACAGACTCTAAAAGATGCTGGCTCCAGTGGGGGTTGCTGACCAGGTTAAGGGAGAGAGAGCTCTTGGGTTTAAAGTCTGGGAAGGCTGCCTGGAGGAAGGAGAGCTGGGGAGGCAGGGGGCTGGGCAACAAATCTATTGGGGTTTTCCCCAAGTCTTAAACCCCCATGCTGCTCAGCCTGGCTCTCTGCAAAGAGGACTTCGGGCTAGAGAAGGTTAATCACCAGAAAGGGAGCTTCTGGGAGCTAAGGAGTAACTGGTACAGAGGACGGGAGGCCAGCTGCTCCCCTCCACAGGGGCGGGGCGACTACCTGTCGAGGGGTGCTGCTGCGTGGTTGGGTAGTGTTCCTCACACGAGGGTCATCGTCCTGCACAATTTCCCCATTGGCCAAGATCCGAACCATCCTTCCAGGAGCTATGGGTTCCAGCTGGGCTGCACCTTTCCCCAGAACTCGAAACACCTGAAGGAAAAAATTTACCAACGTTAAAGAGCTTGCTTTCAGTGGGAGAAACTGTAATTCTGGGTGCTCACACTGGTGACCCATGCTGAGTAGGCAGTGTGTCTAACTAATAAAAAGAAGAGAAATAAATACAAGTTGTTTGCCAAACAAAAATCTTTCAGACTTTGAGTCCACTAGGAAAACTATCAAAAAGATTCTTGGAGAAGGAAGTTTTATTATTAACCACCACCTCCAGCAATAGGGATGACAACCCTTGCTGGGGCCCAGGCCCTGTGGAAAGTCCACCCAGGCTCATCTCACTTACACCTCCCAACACTCCTCCGGGGCAGATACAGCTGGGGACCCAGAGGGGCTTACTTCACTCACCCGGGACCATTCATCCGTGGGCAGCAGAGAAAGAGCATGAAGCCAGGAACTCTGGCCCTAGTAGGGAGTCCAGGACACCAGGATCCCCAGTGTCTCCATTTCCCTTCCGTTAAAAAATGGTCCAGGGAGATGCTAAGGACTCAGGCCTTCTCCCCGCAGGAGATCGGGGAGAGCTACTTTCCTGCAGAGGGCGTACTCTCACTTGTCCCTCACCTCTCAGGTAACACCAGGCGGGCACGGCCAGCCTTCCCGAAATATGGGATGAGGGATGCTGCTGAGGCCCCACTCACAGCCCACAAGGGGGTCCACGGGCTGGAGATGGGGGCCTTTCCACGCCTCTCCCGAATCTGGGTAAAGGCCATCATTTTTCTCAGAAGATGAGCCAGTTTTCGTCTAAATTCTCAAAAGCACTCGTGACGCACACGCCAAAAGAGATTAAGAGCCCTTGTTCTCACGCCCGTGGCCTGGGCTGGCGGGTCCCCATTTTGAAGCCTGCTGGCCCTTGCAGAAGGCCAAGCGTGTCCAAAGGGTCCTCCGCAGTCCTTTTGCGCTTTGTTACCCCGCCTCGCTGGGTGGGCTGAGGGTGCGGCGGGCCCTCCCTCCACCTGACACTAAGGGGGGATGGGGGCGGGGAACGGGGATGGGATGGGCTTGCTGCCGCGGTGGGACAGGCCGCTGCCCGGGCCGCGGAGCCCGACTCCGAGACCAGGCCCGGGGTAGGGGAGGGATGCGCCCTCGTTCCCCCGCGCCCAGGGCCCGGACACTCACCTACGGGCGGCAGCGTCCAGTCCCCGCGGCTCCCAGGCCGCTTCCTCCCACCTGACCTCACAGGAAGCGCGCGCCGCAGCCGTACGGCCCCGCAGGTGGCGCAGCAGCTCCCTCTGTAGGCCTCTGGGGGAACTGCAGCTTCCGGACCCTGGGCGGCGCAAGGAGCGGGAGAAAGAGGGCGGGAGAAGAACGAAGATAGGACCGGGTGGACCACAGAGCAGGGAGGGAGGAGACAAGTGCGGAGGAAGAAGGAAAGCAAAGAGAAGGGAGAAGAAGAGGAGGAGGAAAAACCTACGGGGTGGGGGCGCCTCTGGCCTGGGTGGCACAGGCTCAGCTCACCCTTATGAGTTTGCTGAGCCCGCTCAGCGGATGCCCCTTCAGTAGGACCCAGCCCTGTACTCAAGGAACTCCAGCTCCTGTTCCAGTGTGGAACCTCCCAGTGGGGAAGACAACACATGAACCACAGGGCAAGTGCAACTAACTGCAACGTGAAGGAAGGCAGGCTTCCTAGAGGAGGTGGCCTTTGAACTGGGGCAAGAAGTGTAGGTAGGAGTTTACCTGTCAGGCAAATAAGGAAGGGCACCTGGCAAAGGAGTGAACGATAAACCTCTGCCTCTTTCCCAGTGTTTTCACCCCCCCCACCCCCGCCCACCTTCATAAGCTGCTCCCTGTAGACCTGTTCACCAGTGGAAGAGAATAAGCTCGGCAATCCCACAACTTGAGTCAGACTCTGGCAAGTTCCAGAGCTGCTCAGTCTCTTCATCTGCAAAATGGGGCCAAATCTAGCAGTTACCTTCAGGATTGCTGTGAAGATTAAGAATAAGAGTCTCTGGCCCATGGCAAGTGTCGATAACCATTTGTTACGATCATCAAGCAGTAGATGTTTCTGGGAGCAGGTATTTATTAAGCATATATAGACCTAGATGCTCACTAGCCCCTGGGTGGGGGAACAGAAAGATTGAGACTTAGACCTTGCCTCAAGGGCTCATCTCCTGCCACCACGGTTTAATTATTTGATTATGAAAACTTATCAGTAAAAAATGTCAAGCAGGATCCCTGATATCTGTATCTTATTTGTGTATTATTTATTTGTTTGTTTATAAATTATCCATGTGTGCTATGAGAGCAGATTGGCATTGTGGATAAAAGGTGGATGCTAGAGCCAGCCAGGGTTGGAATCTGGCACGGCTGCCTTCTGGTGGTGTGATGGGCCAGTTACTCAACCTCTCTGGCCTCAGTTCCTTCATCTGTAAAATACGGATAATAACAGTACCCACTTCATCAAGTTTTTGTGACGCACTAAGTGCTTAGTGTAAAGTGCTTAGATGAGAGCCTTAGATGAGGCCACAATATGTTCTCAGTAGTCACTGTCATTGCTGCTGCTCCCCTACATTAAGTACTACATTGTAAAGCATATACATTAGAAAAGAAGAGGATTTCAAATAAATATAAACTGAAATCCTAATACTTTCTTCCTACACTCTTGCTGCAGGTGGGTATAGTGCATACGTAGAAGGGGTAATCCCAAGGCAGGATGCCCGGCTTTCAGAGGTGGTCTGTGGATCTCAAAACTGTCTGCACCTTGGAATTATCTGTGATGTTTAAAAACAATCCCAATGCCTGAGTCCCACCCCAGAGGTGACAGTGCCATTGATGTGGGATACAACCTGGGCATGAAGAGGTTTTAAAAAAACAAATTCCAGGTGATTCTAATGAACAGCCAGGACAGAGAACCGCTACCTTCCATGAACTGAGCTCCACACGTGGGGCTCATAACCCAGGAACCCCAAGAAGGGAGAGACCTCTGTGGGCTGGGGAAACCAGGGAGGAAATGAGATGTTTCTAGGAAGGCTTGAGCCGGTACAACAGCTGCCAAATAGACACAGCCTAGCCAGAGGTAGCCGTGAGAGCCCATTGGAGGAAGTAAGTCCCTCCAGAGGGGGTCAAGAACCGCTTTAGCAGGCAGTAGTGTTTGACTGCACTTAGAAAAGTCCTATCATTACCAATTAAAACAACTTCAGGAGGCTGTGAATCACTTTTCCTACCTCTCCACTTCCTTCAGATGTCTCCCCTACTCAGCAACCTGCAATGGTTCCCTATTGTCTGCTCCAATAAGACCCACTCATTGGCAGGCTCCAACAACCCTCCAAATCTGGCCCCAGTACACTCTTACCAACTCCCTCCCTCAGCTCCGCCTGCCAGGGTCTCTTCACTCTCCCTGAAGTACATCACCCGAAGTCCTGCTTTGCTTGGGCCTGACTATCTGCCCAAAGGCCCTCCCCACCCAAACTAAATCCCACCCCATCCCCAAATTTTAATGCCAACAATATAAACTTCAGTTCTGATTGTTCCATGTAGTAATGATAACCTCCATGTGTACAGAGGCCTTACCACTTCCAAAGTGCTTTTCCAGAAACCACATCATCCTTTTCGGATTATGAAATAGGAAAGGTGTATGCTATTGTTCCCCTTTTGCTAATAAAGAGACTCAGAGGGACTCTGGGTGACCATCCCGAGGTCAGTGGCAGAGCCAGGATCCCCCCAGCTCTGCACTGTAGGCTCTGTATCTAGCCACCACCAAACAGCCTCCCCCAGCGTTGTCCCATCTCTGCTGCCTCTTTACTTTGTGCCCTCCCATCCAATGCCATTGGCACAAGACTGGCCCCAGGTCATGTCTTACTCCCAGAAGGTGCCTGGTAAAAATGTGCTTTTGGTTTTCCTGGTCTTTGCAGGGTTACTCTTACATACACTGAAGTTTGACAAGCACTACTTTGGACCAGTGGCTTTTCAAGCTCTTTGATGGCAATACATTTTACATCACAACCTAGTAGCCCCTCCCCCCACACACACACGAAAAAGAAGTTTCAAAAACAATATTATCCTTTCTATATTAGCTATACGGTGACATTTTCTATTTTGTAAGGAAAGAAAATGCCAATCGAGACCTCACTTGATTTCTCTATCCACTAATACAATGGTTCTCAACCCTGGTTGCACATTAGAATCACCAAAGGGAACTTTCATAAACCACTGGTGCCCAAACCAATTGAATCAGAACTTCTAGGAGGTAAAGCCTAGGCATCTCCATTCCAGGCACTCAAGGAATAGTGAACACTGGCACTCAAGGTTGTGAACACTGATGTGTAGTCATTTTTAAAACACGGTGGTAGATGCCCCTCAAACTTAAAGCCTCTTC